CTTGCAAAGCTGACCTGTATAAGTCATAAATGATGTTATTCAAATCATGATGATAATCTTCTTTTTTCCTTCACTATTGCTTATCAAGAATCAGGTTATGGAAGTTTAGTACAAACATGAATTTGAGGTCATCCGAGTCTTCAACCATCCGAAGGAGGAGAGGAGGCTTTCCATTGTCGTTATCAGTTAGGAACAAATGCTTACCAGATCTCCCTGCAATCCAGTGTGCAGTTTGAGATGCACTTCTCTCTAAGAAAGGAAGACCGCAAAGTAGTGGGAGCTGATGAAGCAGAGAGACAAAAAAATATCAAAGAAAAGGCTTCAACAGTGCAACACATTAGATTTGTTTTTAAGGCACATATATGGACTCTGAGTCAGTCTGAATGATAAAGTCTTTGAGGAAGTGCTAGCGTGCAAATTTTGCAGATACCACCAGGATGTAAATTGAACCCTCATTTTAAGATCCACAATTTGATTTGATACGCATAATCTCAAACCTGTTTGCGATTTTATCATATCAGGAGACCAAGAGCCATATTCATTCTCATCAATTCTAATAGGTGAATATTGATACAAAACCACAGAAGAAAAGCAGCTATACACAATAACATACTACAAAAGGAAGTTAATTTACTTGCAACAGGAAACAATATCAAAACAGAAGAAACCTGCTTATGTCCTCTGGAACCCAAATGCGGAGTTGCAAATGTTATAAAATTTACAGGCTCCAGTCCAGCAATCCTTGCTTCATAACATAGTTCATGGAGTTTTGCAGAATTATTTGCTTCCAATACTGAAGAGGGCTCATTTTGGTCAGCATTTCCAATCCTAGCAGAAAGTTCAAATAATCTTCCAATGGCATATCTAGCAATAAGGCCACCCAATGAGTGGGCAACAAAAGAGATCTTGTGTAAGCCAGGCCAATTTTTTACAACATTGACCACCTGCACTATAAAGGACAGAAGTGTATCAGTCTCTAGATATTATGGTGTCAAAGTATAGCTTTTTTCTACTAAACTAAGTTCCAGTAACCAGAAATACAACAAAAATGGAAGCATGATAAATGCTAATTAGCAAAATACCTCTTCAGCTAATCTCTCCCCCATCAAATCAACACCATCAAAAGTCAGCTTTGAAGTATTGCATTCACTACCTGGTATACATCAAGCTACAATATAATCACATTTCTCTATAATTTAATCATCTTCCATGAAGATAGAAATATCAATGCACATTCCAGAAAAAACTGCAAAAGAAAAAGAATAATTAACCTTTTCCTAAAGAAAGTTAAGTATAACTTGAAATGGAAAGCTAACGGAAAAAACATCACTACACATTCCAATAATTCTCAGAATGAAAAAGAAAGAGAACAACAAAACTTTTCCTAAAGAAAATTGAGTGTCAAACAAAATTTTAAGACCTTACAGAAGAAAAGCATCTGTTATCAGCAAAACCAACAAGAGAACTAGATAACTACTAAACACGATATTGGCTAAAGCAAATAGAAACACAATCTGTATATTATGTAAACCCCAAAACTCCAATCTCTGCGTCTCAAGTAAAAAATAACATATCAACTATTATTATCACCAAAGGAAAGGGGGGGGTGGGATAACCAATCAACCAAGTTCAGAAACAACTTTAAGCATTTCAAAACCAATTGCAACATCAAACAAAGCGCAAAATCTTCTGAAACCTGTTTAAGCAAGGATATTATAACATGAAGAATTTATTCAAAAATAGAAAAAATAAACCTTTTTCATTTTTGAAAAAGCTTAACTTACGATGAACAATAATTTTGTCAGGAACTCTTTTCACAAACTGTTCAGCAGCATATCTCCAATCTGCAGCACTGAGAACAGAGCAGGAGTACTTGTGAAAGAGTTGGTGCAAGAGTTACAAATTGACGTAAAAGTACCATGCCTGTACATGAGTGTTTACGGAAACAAAGTGTCTACAGGATAATGGCAGAGAGAGACCAGTGTAGAGAAACATTTGTTCATGAATATCAAGAAGAAGAAGCAAGCTTGGTACACGTCCAAAAAGCTCATAGTGGCATATGTCATTGGGTAGTAATACTAAATTGACATATTTTCATTGTAACATTGAAGATCTCAGATGTATAATAGTTCATTTAACTAGCAAATATTTTTCAAAACCAATAAAAAGTTTGCAGATTTTGTATCTAAAATGCAGAGGAATATAGGTTTTAAACCAATGCCTATAGCAATCGGAAGTAGTTTCCAGGATTTACATAAGAACTACACAATTTTTTTCTATAAAGGTACAAATAGTATTAACTAGCAGAAAAGAGACAACTATAGATAATGCGATAAAGGTACATATTAGATGTTTGCCAAGCCCTCTGTAGATCTGCAGTACTATCTTCGAGTAATACACCATTTGCCAAAAATAGACTGAGAAATAAAAAAAAAACTATACACTCTAAATGGAAGATGGCATTTGTTGTTACGTGGTACTATTTTTCTTGTAAACAACTCAAAAAACTCCTAACCTTGCACTTTAATATAAAATTTTCCTAATTCTACTCTTGCCAAAACCACTATCTTAAGTCTGTAACATCTGTCACATAATCTCAGCATAAAAAATTGAAAACACTAAGACGATCATCTCACAGCTTCTTAGAGGTCTGAAATCAAAATAAGGTAACCTTTTCCCATTACTAAACTTACACAAAGATCACAATTTGAGATGAGCACAGGAACGCTATGCACAAGAAAATTAAATCTGGTAACAAGCACTTCTACACTTGAGGTGAAAAAGACCAAGGCCCCTGTACAAGATATTATCACAAGCACTTTGTACCACTTACACCCTTCAGGTACTAAACTAGAAGCATCTAGCAAATGTCCAACATTTAATAGAGAGAGAGAGGTAACATATAGGAAATAAAGTGGTTCTTGGGTGGGTGTATTGTGCAAAGAATGGTTCTAATTCGGTTGGGGAAAGAAGTAAAATGTGACATGGGCAGATTTGAGTGGATTTATAGAAATTGAGTACACATGACTTGTCACATAGCTAAGCAAGGTGCATATTCTTGTTCTACATATTTGCAACTTACAAAGCAGTCATTTGGATATGCCATTTGGCAAAGAACTCCAACCTCTGATCTATTAGATTAGACTCCTTTCCCATGCAATACCATGTTACTAACTCCAATTTTCTGGATTGTACCTTGTGAAGTCTTTAGCACGTGCATTGAGAATATTTCCAGTGGATCAAATTGTGGTTTTTGGACAATTATCTGATACCAGGAATCCTTGGCGGTTCTAGTCATCCTTATTATTGCAAAACTAAGTTCAACACTAGTCTATAACACGAACGATACACAACTAATAAGCACAGAGTTCCAAAAGCTAAACTAGCACAGTTTGGTCATCCATCGGAGAACTTTTGCAACTAATTATCTTTTTGCTGGATATAACAGATACCCAACGGAAAGCCCTCGCTATATCTTTCACTCAGCTGTACTTTTAGCGCTTTCACGTCATGAAAATAGCTATATGATTATTACATCAAGGAGAATCCGCTACATTGCTTAACTAAATTTTCCTCCAACAACAATTATTCACTGAGGAACTATTATCTGATCTACCACATTTATCTTAACCAATTCCAAAAATGAGTTCAAAACCGTAACCTTTTACCTATTACCGCTACTGCACGCAATTAGCAACTAATACTCCCTCATCTCACCTTTCCGTACATAACCACCCAAAATTTCTATCTTTTAACTTTGATATAACCAAACAAAAAAACCCCATTTTTTCTAGAAGATTACCACAATACCAAAATCGCATAAAAATGCAGAGATAAACACACAAATACACAGTTAAGCTATTTTACCTTCCAGCAAGGCCATTGACCATTATGACAAGGTGTTGAGGCCGCACCTTGGATTCAGCAGTTGCAGCATCAAAAAAATCCTCGCCACCATTATCTGATTCAACTTCCACCTTCTGTCCCTTCTTTGGACTATCAGGAAAGCAACCTCTTGTTAATTTCCTCAAGAGTTCCATCCCACCCGAAGTACCACTCTCATAATCTGCCCAAATCAGCCTAAGGAAGCCTCCTTTTTTTCTGGGTTTTGTTGATCTAATTCCCAAGTTGAAACTCAGCACAGCTTTGACAGAAAATCTTGGGGTGCAAAGGGTTCTTGAGATTTGGCTTGGGGGGTGAAGGGGTAGTTTTGCTACGGTGATCATGCGTGAATGGTTGGGAAAGTGAGAATCATTAGACTATAGACAAATGAGGGGTAGAGGCTTGCGAGTTGGGACTAGGAGGAAATAGTAAAGCAAAAAGAATCGCGATATGGCGTAGTTAAATTTAACTAGCAGAGAGCAAAAGGGGTTTAAGAAATTGCAGTAAAATTGGCAGCTCTGTCTGGAAAGGTCCCAAAGAACTGAGGAGGCGCGGGAGTTACGGTTGCATAAGCAGAGGAAAGCAAGAGATAGTAGTAGTATTAGCAGTGTCATGAGGAAAAGATTTTATCATTGTCCGAAACAATTCCTTGGCCGGTAGTTAACATTTTTTGGATAAATAAAAGAAATGCATGATATTATTTAAGTTGTATTTGATGTACAATAGACGGACTCTACAATCTTATTTGAAATATTCTGATTGATCTTGAAAATTAATTACTAGACTTGTAAAGTAGTTTATTTGATAGTGACTGAGGAGTAGTTTTTTTTATTTTTTTTCATATAGTAGTATTTGACTTGGGAACTTGATGCTTTTGCCATTCATGGATCTTATATTTTGGGGCGGTTGGAAACAGTGGAAAAACATCTTTTACGACCGATTAATTGCCATATTTCCAGAAATTTTCGAGCATAGTTAAAAGAAGACAGAGAGATGAGGAACAAGAAGGATAGACTTCCAATGAATTTTTTACCAGAAGAACACGTAGGAGTCCGAATCCAACAAGTTCCAAGCATCAGTTTCACTTGTTAGCTGACTGAAATACAGATTTCCAAATTTTAGATCAAATATTCAAAGTCAATCGGAAGTTGCATTTCAAGAAATGGAGAGAGAGCATGCGTGTCCGAGACTAGAGAAACTTTCCCCCTTTCAGTTGTTCCAAGGCAAGAATGTTGTCCTCCAAGATTCATTCTCAGAAACTTTCTGTCATGCTCACAGGGATAAACCCCTCAAGATTTTGTTGCAATCTAAAAGACATACTCGGAATTCCAACAAATTACAATCAATTGGTTGAAAAAAAAAGATAAATTTTTGGAAATAAATCTTTGTGATCCAATTGTAGGAAAATTTTTTCTGATCTTAGTTGCCACTTGCCAGACACTATGTGATCTTGACTGCGGGTATTACATACAACTATTCCCAACCAACTCACCACATTTATGATACACCACCTGAAGACAGGTGCATCAGCACTTGACAATATTGACCTGAATAATGGACGATAGGCTGCTCTAACTTCCAGAGAAATTGCTAGCATCCTTCCTGCCTCAACAAAATCTTAATTAACTATTTTGTTAATTCTTTTAAGATAAATCCTTACCAGCCACACTTAATTATTTTTTCTTTTTTTTTCTTGACGAACTATCTGAGCAAAGGTTCAGTTTTTCTATGTTGCATTTATAATTTGTCTTTAAAAGATATAGTAAACATACATAAATATTTGTGGATCCTGTTATACAGGGTGCCTAATCAACGATAATGAGTATTTAAGCACAACTCCCAGTTTTCCTAATTTGCTTTTGAAAAAGAAAGGCGGGCTTGTTGGTGTATCAGAATTCGGGATGGTAAATTTTTCGAGATGAACTAATTCAGCTCTTAATTGCTTAGTTTAGCTGAGTTTAGTTTGATCTCATTCATGATTCAATTATGAATTAATCTCAAGGAATGGATTTAAATCCACAATCATAGTAACAAATCAATGTACTTATACTGATCACCTAAAATACTTTTCAGTATAATGTACGAGTTAAAGTACAAGAATATGAAATAGCATTAAAAAAGAGAAAAAAAAACTCTTTAACTCCATACATTAATGTTATATAACTATATATTATACTAAAAATGAACTATGTCGATGCTGATTTATTATTTTTTTTTTTTTTGGCTTTTGGACACCACTAATTCGAAATGTAGTTTAGCATTTATTTTTTCATCTTAATACCTAGTACTAATTTAACCCATATAAGTTGCATAGCTTTACATTTTAATGGAACTAGACCGAGCAACATTCAAAGAAATGTCACTTAATATGGCCGCTCACCAATATAATTTCCGGGTGGATAATAGTTGCAAGTCATAAACAGATCCCCACTTTCACAAATAGCTCGAGCACATCCAATTCTCCTTGTGTTTTTCCACACAATCTGAGTATAATGCCCACACATCTGTCCGTCGGCACATGAATTAGCCTGGTAATTGTAATACTTCTCTTCATCAGCCCAAGCTTTGACTGCATCAGTTGGAGTCCATGTTGAGCCGCTTCCCCAGAATATATTCTCTCCTAACTTGAAATCGCCTTCTGGGAATGAATGCTTTAGCGCACAATCCGCTTGCCTTTGTCCCGCCCACGAATTTGCATATTGTTGTAGCTGAGAATCCCATATGAGAGGCAGCTCCCACTTTGCAGCTCTGACTAAGTTGTGAGAAAACAGGAACTCTATGGATTCTGCTAGGCAGTTCCAGCACAGTTTCTTGGAGATTTTGTAGATTGTTTCGTTGTCCGCTGGCCTTTCCCTGGTTGCTTGAGGTGGGAGGGAGGCTTCTGAGGATGCTGAGAGGACGTTGCAAAGCAGAGTTGTGAGAAGAATGAACAATGGAGGATGAAATTTTGGATTCATTTCGTCAGTATGGAATGGAACTTGAGGCTTGAGCACAGAATAATTAGAGCAGGACTCAAGAAAGTGCATAGAGGACCTTAGATAACTTGACTTGAGACTGCAGCAGCACTCATTTATAAGCGTTTGGCAAGAGTTTTTGACATGTGAAGAGACTAATTAACAGTACGAGTGGAGCAAAGAGACAAATCTTGAATTGAAAAAAGAAAATGTAGACCACACACCACAAATTGATTGAACAATTTCTTGAAATTTGTAGGACACATGACACGAGCAAATTAAGGATAGGCCTGCAAAAACAAACTGCATGTTATGTGGGGCGTTGGAGCCAATGAGTGTGTGAATTGGAAGGCGTTAGAGAATTACGATCATAGAATATAGGGATGGCTTTTTGTCCCAGCATAAGCCAATAATTCGAAGGTTTCGTCACTCGTGAGAAAGGGTGGAAGGGCAGGTTGTCCATGTTGCACCCGTGAACTGGCTTCTCCATTTGTAGTTCTATCATCTATGGAACAGCACGGAATGCCATGAACCATTCTAGAACATGCCGCGTGGCATTCATCAACTTTTACTTGGATTTCCAAGAATCTATAATACAATCGAAATCCTTCTTGTTTTTGTTTTATGCTGGTTCACAAGCTCAGGATTTTCCTGCTGCTTCTTATCTTCGGAGGAGGTGCTGATGAAATGTTGAGGTTGACATTTTTCTTCACGGGATCACTTGTGGATTATGGACTGGTTCCCTTTTCCTCCGCAGAAGAACATCTAATCTTCACTTGATTTGACTGGTATCAAAGGAATTCTTAGTGCTAGCATTCTGCCAATCCTCTGTATTCTATTGCGCTAAAAAAAATCATTGAGCGTTGCTCCAATAGTCAGGAGAACCTCTTAGAGCTCCCCGTGCACAAGATCAATTTGAATTCAAGTACTGCACTGTTCAAGTAAAAATATTTGAACTTGTGCAAAATTCTTAAAAGTTGAGATCGAAATCAAGCTCGAATTCAAGCTTATTTTACCTTACTTGAACTTGAACAAATCAAGCTCAATCGATTTCTCAAACTTTAGTGTTTTGGCAAATTTTATAACTCTCTTACCTATAAATGTAATTTTATAATAAATAATTGTATTATAAATTCACTATTCGATAAAGGCTTGACAAATGCTCGAATTTTAATTTTTTCTATTTGTACTTGACTCGAATACCTTATCGAGTGGTTCGACATTGATTTGAACTCGTTCAACGCCAAATTTAAGTTATCATTTAACCAATCTGCTTTGGATTTCAAATTGAGTTGTTTGATTATATTACCTGCTTAGGAGTTTGAATCGAGTTGTTTGATTATATTACACCCTCAGACATGACACCGAACATTAAAAATTGGGTTACCGTCATTATCAGGTTGAATTCATGTAGTGCACTATTCGAGTAAAAATACTTCAATTTTGATATATATATATTTTTTTTACTTATACTTGACTCGATTACCTTATTGCGTAACTCGACCTCGAATCAAAATCAATCAACGTCAAGTTCAAGTCTAGCCTTCCAACCGAACTGCTTACGAGTCCGAATCGAGTTGTTTGATTAAATTGCACTCTTAAGCATGACACCGAGCATTAGGCGACTTATTGTGGGACTCAAACTCGAGTGGTAAGGATCAAGTCCTTACCAGTTGAGCCATAAAACGGAGGCTCGTCCCTAGTGGGTTACTAGAAGTTTACAGGCTTCAACAGACGCTCCATTCGCCACTGGCCCAATTTCAGTAGCTCATATTGCTCTTTGAACTTCCTCACTACCCACGATCAAATCAAATAAACTCAACAAGTGGCAACAGGTTCAATTCTATATATGCAAGTGTAGATGGACTCTATGAACTTCATCCCACAAGTTTCTCCATTGAGGACTTCATGAAATGGACTTCATGAATGCCATATCTTCTCAAATTAATTTCCAGATTTATATTAAGCTGAAACAAACAAACCAAAGTGCATTTTTTTTTTATCAATGTGAACGCAACCACGCATATGTTTATCAATGTACCTATGAATGCAGTGTTGTGTTGTTATGTATATATGAGCATTGCTGCTACATTAGTTTTACCTCTTTTTTTTCAATATAGACAGATTACAGTGTGTCAATAAGAAAAAGAAAAAGACATATGACAAAAAAATCCTTCTTAATGCATGAATGAATTCTGTGATTTATTTACGTAGATTGAAGAAACTTTACAAGGGGATCTCGGTAGTTACAGAAATTTGCTCTGACTTTAGAATTGCAATCAGATTTTAAATAGGAAAAAATCATCCAACCAGCTGTTACACTTGATTCAGCTTTTAAAAAGCATGCTGCTAAAGGCCCCCCAATTTCAACATCGCCAGCTCTATATAATTGAACCTTCCCTTGAGCCACAACCCCCACCCCCACCCCCACCTCAAAAGGAAAAAATGGAAAAATGTTACTAAACAATTAATCAAACTTAACCACTGGAGTTGGCCAATGGTTAGGGATCTTAAAGTTCTTCTCACTAACAAGTTCTGGGTTCGAATCGTGTGTCTGATAATTTGAGATAAAAAGGATGTGAGAAGATGTGGAAGGGTTAAAAAAAAACCACACACGCGCGTGCATTCACATTTAACCAAATGACAGTGAAGTGTAAAATAAAATTGGATGAACTCTTTCTTGAATAGCAAAGTTCATAAATTACTTACCAACTTTCACATTAAAATTTGCAGAAAGGTTTCAGGGCATCTTTGTCTGGTCTGGTCTAATGCTCAATGCCACAGCGAGATTAACACCTTCATCAATTTCTACCAATTACTTGACTATCATTATCAGGGCATGCATTACATACATGATGTCGAGATTAACTAATCTGCCTGATGAGGCAATGAATTCGTTTTCTCTCCTCCCTCTCTTCTTGATACTGAAACACAAAGGTTTCAAAACTTCTAATACTTAGTTTAATCTGTGTTTACACAGGGAAAACTTTATTAGAAACTGACTAGGTTCTGGAAAGTGAAGCAAAATTTCCATCCTTTGCGAACGTGTAGCTAAGTATTATCATGAGTTTTATCTAGCTAGCTTTCGCCAAGATATCATGCAAATTTTGCAATACACAAAACTTGGGAAGTGAGAAATCAGAAATGTATTGACTTTAAGGATGAACAGGACCTGGTGACACATGACACATATCATATGTTCACACTGGAGTTGAAGTTAAAGAAAAGAGTTTCAAAACCTAAAATATTCCAAGGCTCCTCTATATTAAGTAATCCCTATACTTTTATTTGGAAGCCTTAGATAACACAATTCAGCAGTATCTCTCTCACTGCCAAAAAAAAAAAAACATGTTTTACATCAATCGCATGGGTTTGATAATAATGAGAAATACGGCAATTGATATACACATGAAGCCCAAAAGGCAAATATGTTAGAAAAAAAATGCATATTCAATAAGGTCTCTCTCCAATATAATTTCCTGGAGGATTATAATTGCAAGTCATGAAGACTCCCCTGCCACCAAAACAAGTCACTCTAGCACATCCAATCCTTGTAGTCTGTCTCCACACAATTTGTGTATAATGCCCGCATTCCTGTCCCAAGGCACATGAGTTAGACCAGTAGTTGTACCATTTCTTCTCCACCACCCACGCCGCAGCCGCCTGAGCCGGTGACCACCCGGTGCCGCTGCCCCAGAAGATGTTCTCGCCATAGGGTCCATCAGAGTGCCTCAAAGCGCAGTCAAATCTCCTTTGGTTTGCATACCATTGTGCATACCTAGCCAAGTTTGCATCCCACACCAGCGGTCTCATGCGCAGGGCAGCTCGGGCAGCATTTTGGGTTGCCAAGAATTGGTTCACAAATCTTGCATAGCTGTTTCCATTTTTGACAGCAGCACCTGTGATTGCAATGTGGAGGAGGAGAAAGATGACAATGGAGCCATGGTACGGCCTCATCCGGGGAGGAAAAAGTAATTCTAAAGTTTTTAGTAGTTGAGGAATGTAGTTGGGGGAGCTTTTTGGTGTAAATTCAGGAGTATTTATAAGAGAGAGTTTAGGACTTAGGAGTGGTTGGATTTGGAGCTTTTGTTTTCAACCATGGTGGGGTGGCACCCATGTTCGATAATGATTACCACATTTGTTTTTGCAGGGGGCCGGAGAACTTAGCCTACCGTTTGTGTCCTTTGATCATCGTGTGCTGTTCTTTATTGGTTCTCTTGACTAGCATGGATATGCGACCATTATTCCATTGTCCAATTGATTGTCCTTCAAGGATGAACATGTATTATAAACTTTGTGAGAAAAAATTAAAATAAAATGTTAGGTAGTAAGAAATCATTCCTTTTCTTTTTCTCCTTTTTTTGTTATATTGGAGATAGATGAAAATGAGTCCAATTGGCTATTCCTTATCACTAAAAGCTAGAATTAAAATCTCAACCGCATTAGGGTTATCTCTGTTTTGAGCAATTTGGACTTTGGAGGCATGTAGAAGGGCCACATGATTTTTGTTGAAGAAGGTGGCGAAGGCACGCGTCTTTCTTCCCCTATTTGAAGATAATTAACTAGATAGGAAAATGAAGGAGTGAACATCAACCTTGATAAGACGCAAGAAATAAGTTTTTTTTTTTTCATCACAAGAACTCGGTTCACATATTGTATCCTCAATTAAGAAGTCTCTCTTTTTAACTAACTAATACTCCCTCCGTCCCACTTTGATCGTCCTGTTTTCCTTTTTCGTCTGTCCCAAATTGTAATCCACTTTCCAATTGAAGAATGTAGTTGTATTTTAATTTTTCTAAAATATCCTTATTCAATGTAAGTTGTTGTTACTATAAACCTACCCCATTTAATGAGAGTTGATTCTTTTTTTACCATCAATTCAAGTTCTCATAAAGTTATACTCTAATTAATATGAGGGTATTTTAGGAAAATAGCTACCTAAATTGATTGTTCCAACAAAGTTAACTACTTTTTCTTAAACTGTGTGAAAAAAAAACCAGAACTATTAAAGTGGGACGGAGGGAAAGGAAATTGATATTCGCATTCCCACTTAAGCCTCTTACACTTCGATCCACTCGCTACTTAATATGCCTCCAAAAAGTGTTAAAAGCTTATTTAAAAGTGCAAATATCACTTCCCAACTAA